TCTTGGTTAATGGGGAAAGGGAGCACTTACCAATAATAATGCAAAAAAAAGGCCATTGAAACTTTTTTTTTGAAGTGCAAAGAAGAGAACAGAAAGGAGTTCAGAAGAAAGGAAAGTTTTGAAAGTAATATGTAGAATTTATTATGTACTTTTTTTAAAAAAAAGCAAGTGTTATAAAATGGAGATTCTTGGTTTCAGAAAATCCTCTTTTTGTATTCTGTGTGTACAGAAATGCTCATTTTTGCTGTTTAAGTTCATAATAATTTTTTTAATTAAAAGAAGATATAATCAGAGAGGCAAAACTATTTTCAGTTAAAATGTAAATTATATGACTAGATATTTGTCAAATGTATCTGAGAATAAAATGTCTTTAGTTTAGAGGAAGTGGATTCCAAGGATCCAGTATTGAGAAACAAACAATGGTATGACATTTGAGATTGTTATCAGAAATTTGAAGCAAGATGACAAAATTTTGCTGAAAAATGCTGTTGTTCAGAGACTATGGATGAGCCTTGAGAACCACATAGAAAGGCAGAAACATGAAGCATCTCAACTGAAGAAAAATCCAGAAAGCAGGGTAGAGATGGCCTGACTCACTCCATCAATAATCTATAATAATCAATCAACAGACATTAATTAAGCACCTATTATATGCCAGACACTGTGCCTGTGAATATACAATAAATCACAATTTTCCTATTTTAGATACACAGAAACAGTTAGATGTAGCTGATATCCACAGCTTGATACACAAGAAACATTAAAGAAAGATCTTTCCAAAGAAAACTGTTACTTTAAAATAGTAGTGTAAGAATGATAAGGCATGGCTTCCATTCCATTTCGCACGGGAGCTCCTGAAAAAGGTCCTGCTTAAAGCAGACACAGAATAGAGAAAATAACTAATTCTGCCTAGGACTGAGAAGGATTCTTGTTCAGAGAGGTGGGAAAAATCGAACCCAGAAATGGAGCTTAGAATCTCTGCTCTAGAGTTCCCTGAACAGATAAGCCAGAGTTTAGAAATACTGGTAGTGAGTCTCTAACATCAACTACCCTAGGTACAGATGTAGAAAGGTCAACAGGTCACAAAAGAATCAGTACAGAAGCCAATCTGCCAATTAATTAAATTATGATGCTGTGAGAGAAATGGTTACCCCTTCAGCTAGATGTAGTTCACTATTGAATTACATGTTGAATTTACATGTTACCAGGATTTTAAAAAAATGTATATGCAGTGTTATAAATGTATTGTCATTGCTGTTCAGTTGTGTCTCACTCTTTGTAACCCTGTTTTCGATTTTCTTGGCAAAGATACTGGAGCAGTATGCCATTTCTTCCTCCAGCTCACTTTACAGATGAGGAAACTGAAGCAAACAGGGTTAATTGACTTACTCAAGGTCACACAGCTAATAAGTGTCTGAGATTGTTGTTATATTTAGCTATTATTATGATTGTAATAGCTAGCTTTATTATCATTTTTCTCCTTATTTGAATAAAAAAAATCAATCAATATTTATTAAGCACCTACTATGTGCCAGGCATTATCCTAAGTGCTGCTATTTGAAGCAGCCTGACAAGTGCTGCTTTGAATTATGATTTGTGTGTTGTATAGAATATTAATGTGGACTTGATATACCTCTAAATCATTTTTGGGGACTGAAAATTTTGACTGTGGGGAGAAATATAACACTAGCTTCTCCCAAAGTACAGTCCCAAAGACTATATGTAATGTTATTGCATCTTTGAGGACCAATGGAACCTTGGAATGACTGCTTAACTGTCATTCAACTGTTGGCAGTTTAGATGTCATTTTATGAAGAGTCTGTGAGGAGACTGAGAGCTTGACCAGTGTTCTGGAGAGATTAACTGTGATAGGTGAAGAGAGGACAGAGGAAAAGGATTGAGAGAACTGATTTCCTGAGAGAACTGCATTTAATCCATGGAGAGAATTTTTGAGAAAAGGTTATCCTGAAAGGACTAAATGGATTTGTGTTTCCAGAATTAAGCAGAAGTTAGTAGTTGTAGCAAAGCTAAAGGTGACTTTGGCTGTAACGTTTCTCACAACTGACACACTGGAAATCTTTTTTATATCTTGTTTGTTACAGTAATAATAAATCATATAGCCAATACCTTGGAGAGACAGAGACAGAAACAGAGAGACAGAGAAACTGTGGTGGTGTCTCATAGCTAATTAATGAAGGAAATATTGCAATTTTATCACTTAACTTGTAAATATCAGAATATACTCCTTGATTACATTAGAAGATGGAATAAAAATGAATAAGAAAAATGGTCCAACAGCAGGCAAAGAGAGGGACAAAGCAAAGAGAGGGATGATCACCACACACACACACACACTTCACATGGAGCAGCTCACCTGCTTCATATGTACAGGTTCTTTTCCTCATAGAATACAAGCTCCATGAGGACAGGGACAGTTTATTTTTCTCTATGTATCCATGGCACTTATCGTAGTACTTGACACATAGCAGATGCTTAATAAATGTTTATTTAATGACTATTGAGAAGCATAGAAAGACTTATATAAACTAATACAAAGTGAAGTAAGGAGAGCCAGGAAAGCAATATTATAATTACTACAACGTGAATGGAAAGAACAGCTAACACCAATCAATCAATCAACCAAAACTAAAGAAGAAATAGGAACACACACACACACACACTTCTCACTTCTTTTTTGAGATGAGAGACCACAGGAGTGGAGCGATGACTGTAAGACAAGATTTTTTTTGCTGAATTCTGTTTTTCTCTCCTCTTCTTCCCCAACCTTTGGAAACTCTGATACAAGAGATGGTTATCTAGGAAGGGGAAGGGTTACAGATACAGGGGGAATATCTATAAAAATCTATTTTAAAATGCTTGTAGATTGATTGAACTCACTCTTAGTGCAGTGGTTTCTTTCTGCTTGTGATGCATTAGGTGTGTTAATGGGAAAGATATAGGGGCCAGAGTTAGGAGAGTAGCTGGAGAGTAGCCAGTCCAGAAATTGGGGGTTAGCCCTGAAACATTATTGGTAAATGCTTTCAGACCATCAGGCTGGAGAGTTTTCAAGCACTGGAAGGACAGAGGAGAGTGAATGTGCACAGCCCTTACTAGTCATGCCCTTGTTTACTGAGTCCTGTTATATGTGCTCTTAATGTGTGTCCTGTCTCCCCTCTGCACTGGAAGCTTTCCAAGAGCAGAAATAATTTCTTTCAATTTGATTCAATCCAACTCTACAAGTATTTAGTAAGTGCTAGACACTACATACAAAGACTAAATGAAAGAAAAACACACCCTGCTCTCAAGGAACTTACATTCTACCAGATCTTCAGGTCATGATGTGTGCTGAGCTATAAAAATGCAGTATTAGTCACATTCGTCTTAGCACCAGAGACAGAGTACACATCCTCCTGGGAGCCAAGGCTCTTACAGAGTTGAGTTTGGACACTGGAAGGTGTTTACAAGGCTTGTGAGATGTTTTAAGCACCCAAGGCTTTTCTGAATCAGCCTGTAGGAAGGAGAATGAGATCAAGGGAGGGGAAGAGGAAAGGAAAGGAAAGGAAAGGAAAGGAAAGGAAAGAAGGCTATAACATAGAGCTCTATAAAGCAGGCTTATGGCAGAATGGTGCCTAAAGGAGTCTCTGGGATTGGATATTTGGCAGTCGCAGGGGAAGTTACCTCTAGATGGTAAATCTGCCACCTCCCCCAGCTACTTTCTTCCTGCCAACAACCCTTCTCCAAGGCTATATTGCAGCCCTGTCCTCACTGGCCTCCTCAGCCCTATGTCCTGCATGTAAATACTTAATCCTATTTGTGTATTCATTCAATATCTTCATCTTATCCACTGTTACCAGATTAACCTTTCTAAAACAACATTGATTATTCACTAGGCAACAAGGTGCCATTGAAGATTTTTGAGCCTGGGACCAAACTCTTGGGCCAGGCATTCACGACCCTCCCCATTTGGCTCTCGCCCTACTTTTTCAGGCTTATCTCATAGAGGTCCATAATCCCTATACTCCAGTCACAATGCTATTCCATATGCTCCATATCCCCCTTACCTGCTGAAGTTCTACTCATTATTCATGGTCCAGTTTAAATTTCAAATCTTCTATGCAGCCTCCCCTGAAACCCCTGGTTGGGCATATAAATTGGTAAGGAGAATGGCTGGAGGCAATGAAACCCATCAGGAGGTTACTGAAATAGTTCAGGTGAGGGGTGATGATGACTAAAGTAGGGTGGTGGCTGTGTGAGTGGGGACATTAGTGTACTAGAGACAGCTCAAATGTGGCAATGTTAAATTTTCAGTGTGAGCAGGCTTGATTTATTGTTTTTTGATTGCCTAGATTTAAGAAAGTGATAGAGAAAGGTAATAATGCAGATTAAACTTTAAAAGAATATCTGACACACTTTTAAAGTGAAAATGTATCTGGTGGGGGTGAAGAGGAGGGGGAGGTCCGGATGTTAAACATTTACCAGTACACACCTGCCCCTACCTCTAAGTTACTCTTCTTTCCCTAATAGTATTTCAAATCAACATTTGTTACTCTTCTTTCCCTAATAGCACATCAAACCAACACAGTAATTGGCATGAATTTACGCAAATAGAGTAAATGCTTGTTAAATTAATTTCATTCTTTTTGTCCCTACATTCTTCCTGTAGGTGTCTTTGACTTTGGTAAATACTTTGAGGGCAGGAAGCTTGTTTACATCCATCTAGGAAGTACTCAAGTTGTCACTACTAACAATCATCTGTTTCTTCTCTCTCTCTCTCAATCAAGGTTAAGTGACTTGCCCAGGGTCACACAACTACTTAGTGTCTAAGGCCGGATTTTGAACTCAGGTCCTGACTCCCAGGCCTGTGCTCTATCTCCTGTGTCACCTAGCTGCCCTCAGCCATTATTAACTCTTCCGGATGTCTCCCTGGAATTCAGGATATAGACTTAGAGGAGACCAGTGTTCTGCCTACAGTTCCCTGTCCACCACCTCCTCTCTCTCACCTGTAATATTCCACATAGGTGGTCTTGTTTGCCACCTCAGTCAGCTCCATGCTGACATCCCTCCACACAGGCAGGCCTGAGAGCTGTAGGATGATGTTGCCTGACATCTGCTGCACGAACTTCAACGTCTGGATATAGTCTCCCCGGGTGGCAAAGATCTCACTGAGCCGGGCCAAGTGCTGCTCCAGGTTCATCTTCATTTTCAGCGTGGTGCCTGACACCTGGGGGTGGGGCAAGAAGAAGAGAGGGGTATAAGAGAGTCTGTCTTTCAGGGTGGGAGCAAACAGCTGTCAGATGCTGGAGGTATGCAAGGCAGGCAAACACTCAGGGGTCACCATGTAGGAGGAACAATTTCTTAGCCTGTATTGGTCAAAGTTAGGGATTCTTACTTTGGGGCCCAAGGACCCCCAGGGGAATCTGTACTTAGATTTCAGTCTGTGAATGTAAAAAAAAAAAATTTAATAACTACATTTCAATATAAGTTGTTTCCTTTGTAATATATTTTATCTTATGCATTTAAAACATTCTACTGACAAGGGGTCCCCCAGACTGTCAGAGCGGTCCATGACATAAAAGAGCTTAAGAAATACATATACATATACATACATACATATATATATATATATATGTTCTCATAAAATGAGAATGAGATCTGTCATGAAAGGAATATATAGGGATATGGTAAAATAGAATTATACAAATTATTATAATTTATCTATGTATCTATATACTGAGAAAGGGTATTTTTTTTTACATGGAAGTTATTTCTTCTCATTCAAATAAAAGTATTTCATTCTTTTTTCAGTTATTGCTCTCTGTTTTTGTTGCCTTTGCTGCGATTCTGTAAAAGTGCAATTAAAGCCTCACTGAAGTGGTGTAAGAGTCAAATCTAAAGGAAAACGGAAGCTTAAATTCAAACTCATGTAGTATTACTTTAAAAAATAAAAAAGAGTAAATGCACATATTTTTAGTGCCAGAAAATTCTATTATCCATAGCCATACATATTCATTTTGCATTCAGTCAAGTCATGTGTTACAGTAAAGACTCAAAACCTCCTCTGGTGGTTTCTAACACATGAAGGGCACAAATCCCCAACACATTTGTGTACAGCAATTAAACTATGCTTCAGAAATATAAATGGCTCGTCCCATCTCTGGCAGTGGGAGTCTGGGAGAAAGAAGATGCTCCAGGTGCTCTTTCTGGGTCAGGTCACTTCACAGCTGCTCACCTTCTTACCCTTGAATCCAGTAAGGGCCCTTACCCTGCTCCTCCTTCAACAGCACACTGGCAGGAGACAGACTAAACCTGCTATGTTCCACTTCCAAAAAAGGTGTGTGTGTTGCGGGGGAGGGATGTAAGTAGGTGGAGAAAGAAGCTTCCTAATCTGGCCCAAACCAGATTGCTATTCCCAGATCTGGCTTCTTACAAGAGAAGTGAGATCCTTGATCAAAGGGGACAAAGGAAAAATCCCCCGGCCCCAGTTTTGTTTGTTTTCCTTCACTAGGAGTAGGAGATGGATTCCAGTTCTCAAATTGTTTTTATAATAATGAATCTAATGTTTAATGATTAGTTTAGTTAATGCTTAACCCCACATTCTAACATCTTTATAATACAATCCCTGTAAAAATAATCAGATCGGGCCATTAAAACTGCTATACAGACTGAAGATGAGCAGAACTGAACTTCAAAGTCTAAAAGCAAAATGAATTTCTGTCTCCAAAGAACACCACCAGACTCACACAAGAGGAGGGGTCTATGTCTTTTAGCTCATAGGCTTTGAAGGCTGGTGGTTATGTTCCCGTCTCCACGACCAGCGGCAACGTTCATTTAGGCAAAGGCAGAAATTGTAAGTGATGACAGTGCTGCTGCTGTCCTTGATTATCAAATGAGCGGCACCTTAAGGAAACGGTGTTAGTAAGGCACTTTTCAATGCAGCAGATACAAGGTTCTTCAGTCTAGGAAATCAGTCTGGGATTCTGCCAAACACCTCTCTGCAGCAGGATGATAGCCAGGCGTTTTACCAAACAGAGCAGCTGGTTTCTCTTAATTTTCACCAGCTTTAGACTTCACCTTCAAATGCAAGTCAAAGTAAGGAGTCTGGATTTTGAAATGAAGAAATAAATGCGTAACTGAATACAGAAAAGTATGTCTCAATCCAGATAGCTCTGCAACTTTCAGAAATTGATGAAGGTGGAAAAAAAAATCTTTAGAAGCAGAAACTAATAATGATTAGAAAATGAGGCTAATTATTATTAATAACAATAGCTTAGATTTATTCGGGGTGTCCCCAAAGTCTTAGTGCTGTTGTAAGCTTAAAAACCTTTCTCAAGTACTAGCTTAATATAGCTTAAATTTGCAATAAGACTTTTGGGCCATCCTGTATAGAGCTTTTAAGATCTGCAAAGTGCTTTATGTAAATCTGATCCTCACATACCCTATAAGGTATTATTAAATAGTTCCATTTTACAGATAAGAAAAATGAGACTGATAAGTTAAATGATTTGCCCATGATCATGTCTAGTAAGCATCTGAGGAAGACTTTGAAATTAGGTCTGAGTATGGCATCTGAATTATTATTTTTTTTAAATATTGGACCACACAATCAGAAACACCTGTATACAGGCCCCATGAATTTAATTAATTAAATTTAACTTCAGTTATAATTACTAACTGATCCAGGTCCACTGTAATTGAAGGCAGCACTTATATAGCTGTAGTGGGGAACATATAGTAAGGGCCCGCTGACTTCAGCGGGTCCTAACTGTGACAGTACAACAATTTTCCACTTGTTTCAGTGGAGGAAGCCTCTTTACACCAAAACAGATCACATCTGCAATTTAGCCTTTAAAAATCTGACTGTGAGACTCTGAGAAGTTACATGACTTGTCCATAGTCACACAATGAGCAGAGTCCCATCTGTGGTAAGATTTCACTGAATCACAGAATCTGGGAGGTGGAAGGCAACAGCATCCAGGCCAAGCTGAATGCTGGCATGGAAAGATTCCCCACTTTAACACACCCAACAAGTGTTCCTTCAGCCTCTGCTTGAAGCCTCCAAGGACAGGAAACCTCTGGGGCAGCTAGGTAGCACAGCAGATAGAACACCAGCCCTGAAATCAAGAGGACCTGAGTTCCAATTTGACTTCAGACACTTACTAGCTGTGTGACCCTGGGCAAGTCACTTAACCGCAATTGCCTCCCCCCGAAAAAAACCCCAAAACAAAAAAGGAAACCTACCATCTCTTGTCCATTCCATTTCAGGACAGTTTTAATTTTTCTTGATAACTAATCTGAAGTTCAATCTAAAGCAATTCCCACTCAGTACTTTTAGTTTCTGCCCTCTGAGGCCAAATAGAAGAAATTTAATCTCTCCTTCATATGCTAGGCCTTCAAATATTTGAAGCTCTCAAGTCCCTCCTGAACCTACTTCAAGCTGAATAGCCCCAGTTCCTTCAAATAATCCTCATACGACATGTACTTAAGACCCTTCCTCATCCTGGCTTTGGTCCTCCGGATACTCTTTACTTTACTAGTGGACCCAGACACATTCATTCTACCAGTGGTTCTCAACTTTTTGGTCTTAAGGATCCATTTACACTCTTTTAAAAAAAATTGGCTTTTTTATAAAACAAATTTATGATTTTTATCATTGTTTTCTTTTTAAATTTTGAGCTCCGAATTCTCTCCTCCCCCACCCCCAGCCTTCCCTCATCCACTGAGAAGGCAAACAAATGATATCAATTGTACATGTGAAATCACACAAAATATATTTCCATATTAGCCATATCACAAAAAGTAAAAATTAAGCAAGAAAATTATATTTCAATTTGCACTCAGAGTTCATCAGTTCTCTTTCTGGAGGTGGATAGCATTTTTTCATCATGAGTCCTTTGGAATTGTCTTGGATCATTGTATTGATCAGAGCAGTGAAGTCTTTCACCATTGATCATCATTACAACATTGCTGTTTCTGTGCACAATGATCTCCCAGTTCTTCTCACTTCACTTTGTATCAGTTCATGTAGGACTTGCTACATTTTTTCTGAAACCCCTCCCTCGTCATTGTCAAACACAAGACTCAAAAGAAACATAAAAAGGTAAACATGAATGAGTAATCCTAAGGAACTTAATAAAGTTAAACTGTTTATATTCCTATATGTGAAGATGATACATGTAACTGCTAAGAATTTTATCATTATTAGGGCAGTTAGGAGTCTACATAAACAGAGGGCATGAATGTGATTCTGTTATGTTGAGATGCTCTCCAAAAAAGGGGGAGGGAAAGAGTGGGATAAGAAAGAGGGATGCACTAGGAGTAGGGAAAAAGGAAAGGCAGAGTGAGGAAAATTTTCTCACATAAAAGGCACACAAGGATAATAGTACTCCATCACAATAAATCAGCCATTCACCAATCGACAACCCCTTGATTACCAATTCTTCGCCACCACAAAAAGTGCTGGTATAAATATTTTTGTACATATAGATCCACTTCCTTTTACTCTGATCTCTTTGAGGTACAGACCTAGTAATGCTATTGCTGGATCAAAAGGTATTATGCACAGTACTATATACCTTTAAGCATAGTTCCAAATTGTTCTCCAGAAGGTTTGGAACAGTTCACAACTCTGCCAACAGTTTATTAGTGTACCTATTTTCCCTCATCCCCTCCAGCATGTCATTTCTGTTACGTGTGAGGTGGTACCTCAGAGTTCTTTTAATTTGTCTTTCCCTAATCAATAATAATTTAGAGCATTTTTTCATATGACTAGAGATAGCTTCGATTTCTTCTTCTGAAAATTGCCTGTTCGTATCCTTTGACCATTTATCGATTGGGGAATGGCTCTAATTTTAAAAAAAAAATTAACTTAGTTCCCTATATATTTGAGAAACAAGGCCTTTATCAGGGAAATTTGGTATAAAAAATTTTTGACACTGCTTCATTATCTATAGTACCTATTAGCAAAATGTAGTTTCTCTGATCATCTCCTTTAACTGGGTCTATTTTTGCTTTTGCTTTGTCTGAGATCATGATTGCTACCTCTGCCTTTTTTATTTTAGCTGAAACATAATAGATTACACTCCAGCCCTTTATTTTAATTCAATGTGTCTTTCTGTTTCAGGTGTGTCTCTTGTAAACAACATATTGTTGGATTGTGGTTTCTAATCCATTCTGCTCTCTGTTTCTGTTTTATGGGCGAGCTTATTCTATTCACATTCACAG